AAAAAAAAAAAAAAAAAAAAAAAAAAAACTCCTTTCATTTATACTGTTTTTTCTTTAGCAATAGAACAGGATAAAAAAAAAAGTACAAAAATTAATGAAAGTTCAAATTGCAAGAGATCACTTATTTTTCCCTAACTCAGTCAACAGATTTTAAAGAATCAGTTTTTCAATGTACTCAATTATTTTTTAAAGGCACAGTGTAAAACAGGCTTTACAAGGTTTGCTTGTGAAAAGAGGAAGCTATTAACTTTCAATTCACTCAATGGTAGAAGTCCATCCAGTAATAGGCCTGGGAAACAGGACAAATCTCTAGTACTGAATGAAAATGCTAATTATAACCGGATCTGCTGACCTTATCTGAACATTCCATGTGCTTTCCTGCCTCTGCCTCTATGAGCATAATAATCTTTCTGACCATCTCCTTCACATGTCAAAAGACTTTTCATCCCTCAAATTCCATCATAATTGCTACCTCTTTCATTACAAAATTCCCGCTTACCCGACAAAATATAATCTCTCCTTCCATTGATCTCTCATAGTACTTTTCTGCACCTTTCTTAAGACATCATTGTGCTTGCTTCATCTTCTGATACAAAATTATAAACTATTCAACAACAGGGAGGGTTACTTAGCTATGTTGGTTTTCCTGGGGTGCCAAGCACAGTGCCTTCCCCACAGAGGATACTGAATAAATAGTTATATTAGATTTGCCTACGCAAACTCCCAGCATCATAGAGAAGAGAGAGACTGTAGACCTAACAAAGCATCAAACATTAAATATACATTTTTATTGATAACCTATGGTGGTAATACAGATAATTATTTTTTCAATAATCCATCTATCCATCCTTAGTATCAGTTACTAACTCTTCCATGTTCCAACAAAAGTTAAACAGCAATGGTTTCAAAATGAACGATTAAAATCGATCTAAATGCACCTGTGCAGCCTGACCAAAACCTATTTTTGAAAATAATCAAGTATTAGCCTTCTTAAAACTAGAATTAATACAGAAGAAAAAACTGACATAGGCTATTTACTCATAAGGAAAGACTACGAAGAATGTGCTTGCTACACAGCAGGTGAACAACAAAACCATTTATTACTATATACATCTGGTCTCACTTCCTTCACTTATAACCCTTAAAACAGATCAGACATTTAGACATTTGCCAATTAAAACACAGTTTACTTAGGCTAGGCGCAGTGGGTCACACCTGTAATCCCAGCACTCTGGGAGGCCAAGGCAGACAGATCACGAGGTTAGGAGGTCAAAGGATCGAGACCATCCTGGCTAACATGGTGAAACTCTGTCTCTACTAAAAATACAAAAAATTAGCCAGGCTCAGTGGCATGTGCCTGTAGTCCCAGCTAGTTGGGAGGCTGAGGCAGGAGAATCACTTGAACCCGGGAGGCAGAGGTTGCAGTGAGCCGGGATCATACCACTACACTCCAGCCTGGGAAACAAGCAAGACTCCGTCTCAAAAACGCCACCACCAACAAAAAGAAAACATTTGTTTAATGTGCTCCCAATGTCCAATGACCCATTTTCTTATCCAAATCTTAATTTCCATTTATTAACATATTATATCACTTAAAAATCAAGAAATTACTATGGTGATGCTACCCTTACCAACGCTTGGGACTTTATAAGTAACTCTGACAAAGAAAAGAATGAACCAAGCAATCTGGTTCTATTTTATAAATAATAGCAATAAAATAGTTAACATACCCAAAGAAAAGAAACCAGTAATGTCAAAAATATATCAGTTGCATTATATTTTCTCCAAAATGAGAAACATTTAGGATTCAAAATTTATAACTAAGCACTTAATAAGGTAAAAATGCTAACCCCACTGGTCACTAAACACAGGGGAAAACGTGATCAAAGATTTAAGCACTGTAGGCTCAAACCCTCAGCATGTGTCAATATTTCTAAATCCATTAATTTAAGGATCAGTATACTCTACTAGAAAATGTATGCTTAAGATATCAACTCTTCAGTAATGAATTTATCATCTAAACTCTGAAATATGACAGTGAAATTCTATCTGATCTATTTCCTGTCCAGTAGGTAAAATGCATGTAACTCATGAAGCAATGATCATCAAGGCCTCTCATGAGCCAATGGCACTGTTTTTCCCCCACAGCTCCACCAACTAACAACACCTACTGGGGGAGCACCATGGGAACCGAGTAAGACCTCACATGAGTCAAAAATCATCTACCCCGTATCACATAAATGGCTGAAAGTAAGTTCCTTACTGATGCTGAAAACCTCGTTAGTATTTTGCTTGTTTTAAACTTACTCTTGGGCCTGGTGTGGAGGCTCACACCTGTAATCCCAGCACTTTGGGAGGCCGAGGCAGGCAGATTACTTGAGATCAGGAGTTTGAGACCAGCCTAGCCAACATGGTGAAACCCTTTCTCTACAAAAAACACAAAAATTAGCCAGGTATGGTGGTGCACACCTGTAATCCCAGCTGAGGCAAGAGAATCGTTTGAACTTAGGAGGTGGAGGTTGCAGTGAGCTGAGATCATGCACTACACTCCAGCCTGGGTGACAGAGCGAGATTCCATCCCAAAACAAATAAACAAACTTACTTTTCCACCAATTAGGGGCAGAACATGCATCTTTCCAGTCAAGCTGTCTTTCACAGATGATACTATCAGGCAGGTCCCACATAGGATGACTTGGCGTCTTGTCCATCGGTTCACCGGCAACTGCATTTTGCCTTTACGGACATTATACATTCCTGAGAGCTGAATCCGTTCAGAGCTACCTGTGCTGTGAGGTTTTCCTGAAATAAACACAAGCAGACATATTATTCTTTAAAAATGGACCCTCTTCCTACTCATCTGCATACCAGATATACAAACTGGATAACAAGGGAATAATTCAAGGGAAAGAACCTAATTTATAATTGAGAGAAATGACAACTGTGGTAACGGAATTATGGTAAGAACTATATTTCCACATGTATACTTAATATTAAGTGAAGAGCATTTTCCACAAAACCCTAGGAAAACACTATTTTAACTCCCTGTTTTAACTGGCTTTATTTTCTTGCGTATCTTTCACAATTAAATTTTACACTGGAAAAGATTTCAAGATGTTTATGAATGGTTAGAGTTATTTAAATACACTAAGAAGAAAACATTACAGCCTGAGATAGAAAAATAACATCTAATATCTTACATTTAATAAAACTAATCAGTTTAATGAAATTAACTACTATTTTTCCTCATACAGATATTCAACGTATATTTACTGTGAAAGAAACGTAAGAAAGAAAATATTTTTCTTAAAATTACTATTATTTCCTATTAGAAATGATTCTCAGTAATCCATGAAGAATGGGTACTACAATGCTTATGACTTATGGAAAGGAGCACAGAGACGGAGAAATAAGCAATGAGACTAAAAGACAGAAAGAGGCTTGAGAAAGGTCTGAAGAGTTTTTACTTTTCAAATGGAAATGAATTTGGCAGAATTAGTCAGGCAAGTCCTATCAACTTAATGGGAGAAATATTGTGACTGACAAGAACACAGTGACAGAGTCATATAAGCAACTAGAAAAGTATTTCCCCAGTTCTAGATACTGAATATACAATATCGAAGAGTACCAAAGCCCCTGCCCAGAGATAAGTTAATAAAGAATATTTGTACTGTAGTAGGACCCCAGTCAGGAATAATATATTTATTTAGAAGTCAGACTAGTTGCCAAGGGCTGGCAAAAGAAACAAGTTCAAGAGAAATTATATTCTTATTCATATTAAAAATCAACATAAATACCAAGTGGTTTTGATACATGTCTAATACTTATTAGGGAACAGGAAGAGCAACAGCTCTAAAAATAAATAACAGAAGCTCCAAACAGTATCTGAGCCTTCCCAATACATACTTGGGGCAGAGATGTTAGGAAATAAGCCATAGGTTTGAATTTCACTTCTTCTTTCTCTCAGTAGATCAAAATGTTTTATAAAATAAATACTTCACACTACATAATTTTTCTGAGGCTGGGCCAGGATGAAGTATAACAGTGATTCAGCTACTTGAACCAGGTGCCCAGCAAACAACTATACTGTTAAAGCTCTCACTGGAAAGGTACTGTGTTGTCTGTCTACCACATGTTAGTTTTCCCACAAATGAGTACAGAGCCCAGACAACGATTCAAAACAGATGTGAGATGTGACAGGACAAGGGCTGCAAATGATGGATCAGACACAGTCATTCACATGTCCCATTCTGCACAAGTTCATTTATACCCAGAGAGGAAGACCCCTGGGTTTCCAGTCTAAGAGCTCCTTTCTAGACAACAGGCTCTTCCTATGGAGAAGTAAGAGAGAGGAAAAGACCAAGAGTAATAAAAATGAAAAGCACACAAAGGACTAAAAATAACGGACAATAGGCAACTTGGTTTCCAAAATCCAATTTCCTTGACATAATAAACTAATGCTATTAAAAGATTTGAGCTGATGTGTACGTACACACACACACACACACACACACAGAGAGAGAGAGAGAGAGAGAGAGAGAGAGAGAGAGAGAGAGAGAGAGAGAAGCAGGCATTTTATTCAGCCCATGAGAGAGTGGCTTCAACAATACTTGTTAACCTGTCACATTTACGCAGTCCTGTGAAGAATCAGACTAGAGAAAAAGAGAACAGGGGTACATAAGGGCTGGCCCTTCAATTCTCCAACTCCATATACATCCTACAGAAAGCCCTAAAGCAAATCACCAGATAGACTGGACAAAGGTCAGAAGGGATCTTTAACAGAGTACGGATACATCAATAGATACTGGCTCTTTATTCCCTAGTCAGAAAAACTCCCAAGAGCTCTGAATAGTCCTGGAGCCCAACAGTCAGATCAGCCTGTCCCGGGAAAACCCTAAACATCCCAGTCTGAATCAAATCTCTCTGGTCTTACTCTGAATGAATTTCAATATCCCTACTGTCTGTCCTCTCCCTGGGTGTCCCAGATCAGATGTGGGTATGCACTAACTAAGTGGGCCCTGGAGAATAGGGAGATGAATGAGGTAGTATATACCTAGACAATCACCCAGGTGCACCCTCCTTTTTATCAGACTTCCTTGTTCTATGACATAAGAAATTATTTTTGCTCTCCCTGATAATTTTCAAAATTCTCAACCCAGAGGAATTCCAGTTACCCTATGCTCTAATAAACACTGATAATACCAAAGTAACTCATGTGTACCAGTTTAAAGCTGGGTCAGTTGTTTAGCTTTTACTTTAGAAATGTTACTCTAATTCCCTACAGACTTAAGGCATTTTTACATGATCCAGGAGGAAAAACAACAGCAAAAGCAAACATTTCAAGCTGTCACAGAAACATGACAACAGAGAGTGATCTGAAAACATATTCATATATTTTATCTTTTATTTATTTACTTGGCACATAGTAGGTAAGGTGATCTATACTAGTCTATTTATAAACCAGACATGGGCCCACTGGTTGGGCCCACTTGTAGAAAATTACAGCACAATGCTAAAGAATCATACTAGGGCCTCTGGATTTTGATTACATACTCAAGGATCCTCTCCAAAACCAAAATGACAGTTCTTTTTTCACATAGTAAAATTGTTTTTTAAAAGAGGGGGCAAAAAGGTACATGAAATGTCCATTATAAGCCACTATGCTAGATGCTGGAGGTATAAAGAAAATGTTCTCTGCACCAAAATTGCTTAAAGCAGAATCTAAAAATATAGTCCAAGAACGATATATATCAGCATCATGTAGATTTCTATTACCACAGTCCTAGATTTTAAACACTGGTAGCCAAGGCCTGAGACCTGCATTTCAGCAGCCACAAATAGATATGTAAATTTTGTAGCCATAAATCTAAAATAATAAGTCATTCCCCAAAGCCAGCTTAATTTTCTAACAAATGTATTCCTCACATTCATGAATTCAGGGTTTTAATTCTGTCCTACCTGACTGCTAGTTTAATCTTTTCATGTCACATAAAGCTACCTTAAAAATATAATGAAAGCAATGGACCTCCAGATTAAAAAAAAAACCAAAAACCATAAATATGCATAGATATCATATTTGGCAGATAACTGTAGTAGATTCATTTGACCATGCCCACGAGAATAAAGGACGGTGAAATCATTCAGTAACAAGAACCTATTCCCATTTCCTTAAATTACATTCCAAATGTGAGGAAGTGATGGTTTGAAATTAATTTCTCCTATAGCCAAATTTAGTCTTACAAAATTATTTCTACTTTAATTGGATTACTGTATTTTTTATCTTTCTTACCTCTTCCTTCACATAGTCTGCCTATCTCAAGAGGCTTAACCTACCTAGCAAACTATTTAGGCAGATAATATTTATCTTGATATTTTTTTCCAATCAAAAAGAAGCTCATAGAGTATTAGAGTGATAGGTCTACCATAATCACTATAATTAAAAATATATCTGGGCTGGGTGCAGTGGCTTATGCCTGTAATCCCAGCACTTTGGTAAGCCAAGGTGGGAAGACTGCTTGAGCCCAGGAGTTCAAGACCAGCCTGAGCAACACAGTGAAACCCCGTCTCCATTTTAAAAAATGAGCTGGGAGTGGTGGCAGGCACCTGTAGTCCCAGCTAATCAGGAAGTTGAGGTGGGAGGACTGCTTGAGCCCAGGAGATCAAAGCTCCAGTGCGGTATGATCATGCCATCGCACTCCAGAGCCTGGGAGATGGAGCGAGACCTTGTCTTTCAAAAACAAGAAAGTATATAAATATGTAATATATATAAATTTTTTTTATATTTTATATAACATAAATATATATTTTTTATTTTATATATTTATATAAAATATATTTATAAATGTATATTTTTATAAATATATTTTATATTTATATAATTTATATAATATATTAATAAATTTCTATAATATAAATTTATTAATATATCGGATTAATATATAAATTAATACCTTATATAAATTTATGTGTATGATTATGTGTATATTATATATATACACAAACATACATATAAACATATACATAATTATATATTATATAAATATATGCAATTATACATATATTTGTACATTATATATTTAAATATATAAATTTATATATATAATATACATATGTAACATATTTATACTATTAATTATACATATACATATATTTATATATAATATACATTTATATTATATACTTTTACACTTTTTTTTTGAAAGACAAGGTCTCGCTCCATTCTCCCAGGCTCTGGAGTGCAATGGCATGATCATACCACACCGGAGGCTTGACCTCCTAGGCTCAAGCAGTCAGTCCTCCCACCTCAACTTCCTGATTCACTGGGACTACAGGTGCCTGCTGCAGTATTGTATATAATACAGTAATTGTGTTTAATATATAATTTATATTTTATATATATGATTTATATTATCTATATATAATATATATTTATATAATTATACATATATTTAGATTGTATATTAGTTATATATTAACTAAGTTATATATAGTTATATTTATTATATGTAATAAATATATATTTTTGATACTGGGTCTCATTCTATCACTCAGGCTGGAGTGTAGTGGCACGGTCTTGACTCACTGCAACTCTGCCTCCCAGCCTAGCCACCCAAGTAGCTGGGAATACAGGCATATGCCATCATGCCCAGCTGATTTTTGTACTTTCTGTAGAGACAGGGTTTTGCCATGTTCCCCAGGTTCACTGATTTTCTATTGCTTTTCTGTCTTATGGGGGTTCCATTTTTTTTCATTGTTATTGGTTATCCCTTCTTTTACTAATATGTATTTTTTCTTTTTTAAAG